TTTTCAACCATACATTTCCCATCATATCACTATTCAAAATCAATTCTTCCTCCAAAAATCCCTACCAAACAGGCTCTAAATATATTTTTATATATAAAAAAAAAAAGATTTTTTACCAAAAAAAAAAAATTGGGCTGCATAATGCGCGCATTAGGAGCGCCTAGGCTGGATTAGGCGTGCCAGCCTAGGCGCGCGCATTGCGCCGCGTTTTAGATGGAAACGCATTTTCCCGAGCGTATCCGAATTCGACGCGTTTTGGCCGCACGTCGCGCCTAGGCGGCTCATTTTCACGAGTTTTAGAACACTGGAGTTTATACCCAATTTCTCCTTTGTCAAAAACAATTTTTTTATCACCAAGCATTAAATTAAAATTCTTCTTACCTTGAGTGAGTTTGTGAACAACCTTGGTCAAATCTTTAACTTTTTCTTTTAAAGAAGAGTTTTCTTTAATCAAAGAATTATAATCCTTTTGAGTTTCAAAAATATTCTTCATTTCATTTTTCAATAATGAGTGTTTCTTTTTTAGAATGCAGTGATTTAAGGCAATTTTTTCAATTTACTCAAGAATTTCATCGTAGGAAATAAATAAATTATCATATGAACACTTTTCAATAGAATTTACCTCATTTTCGATTGTTATGAAGTACATGTTGATGACTTCTTCTTAACTATTATTTTCATCACGATCATCATTGTCATTTTCATCTCATGTCGTTTGCAGTGTGTTTTTTTTTTATATTTCTTTTCTTGTTTGGGCAATCGATTCTCTTGTGTCCAGGTTTGTCGCAATCACAGTAAATGATTTTCTTACTAATTTCTTCACCATTTTCTTCTATATTTTGAAATCTCCGATTATTGCGAAAACCTATACATTTCTTAATAAAAAGAACTAGATTATCGAGTTCTTCATCACTCATGTTTTCACTTGTAGTTCCTCTTCAATTGCCGATTTTAAAACAATTTGGTGCGTAGGAGGCTCATTCGATTCTTCTTTGTTTTTCCTTAGTTTTGACATTGTTGAACTCATAAGTCATCAAAGTACCATAAAGCTCTTCCAATGGATATGAGTTGATATATTTGTTATTTTCTATCAACATGCTTAATGAGCTCCAATCTTCTGATAGTGACCTAGGTATTTTGCTTATAAGTTTATTGTTAGTAAATTTATGATCAAAGCCTTTAAGGCCATTAACAATATTGATAAAGCGAGTAATCATATCGATAATAGATTCATCTTATTTCATGAAGAAATTTCAAATTCTTTAACCAAAAGATTAAT